GGAGTGTTTTGGTGAACTAATATAAATTCAAAGTAAACATCATTGCATAAAAGGGAACAGTCTTTTTTTTTTTTTTAGTTTTTTTCTTTTCAAACGGGCCTGATCCGGCCAACGGGCCATAGTTTGCCCATGGCTGGTCCTAGACAGTACAACCAAATAAGAAAAAGATATACTATATGATAAAAGCGTAATATGCAAATTGACCCTAACAGCACAATGACCGGTTGCCATGACGCACACTGACCACCAGTGCCTTATGGGCAGACGCTCAACGAAGGGCCTGCCCCCCTAAATGGTCAGTGTGCTTCCACAGGGGGAGCGCTGCTCAGCCAGAAGCTGGCTCATGGCTGGCCAGCAGCAGTGCTAAGGATGTCCGAGTGACGGCTAAGATGTTACTCGGACATCCTGAGGGCTCCCGGGCTGCCAGAGGGATGTCTGACTGCCAGATTAGGTCCAATCCCCCCATGGGGATCAGACATCGCCCGAGGGATCCCGGACTGCTAGAGGGCGCAGGCCAGGCTAAGGGACCATCCCCTCACCCCCTGAGTGCACAAATTTTCATGCACTGGGCCTCTAGTAAAAAATAAAATAACTAGAAATTCAGGTACCCCAGAACGGATGCAGAAAGAGAAGTGCTGTTGTGATGATTGGAAATGAAGACTGACGGGGCCCTGGTTGACCATGAGGAGTCCAGCTCAGCTGATAAATTTCTTTTGGGGATTCAGGTCAAATGACTTTCTTCTTGGAGTCCATATGTGGAACAAACAGGTTTATTGCTTTGGTGTTTTAAGAACATGCTTACTTATGTAACCAGGCTCTGTGAAATGGTTCCCAATGCAGGTCTAGTGAATTGACTCCAGGAATTTTTTAGTAGAGACATAGCAACTTGGTTTACAAGATGCTTCTTTTGAGAATTGTTGAGAGATGACAATCTACTTGGGAAATGACTTAAAAGGAGAATTGATAAAGCAATGTTTTTACACTGGAGAGCTTTATAACAATAATTTCTGTGGCAAAGATACAGCTGAATTTGTGATGATTTAAATGGTCTTCAGGTTATATATGAAAAACAAAATAGGCATTTTTTATTTGATTAATAAGTTGGTCTCAGTGATTTAAAGTATCTGTACTGCCCTTTTTAGATAGGTGATTTTTTTCCCCATTTGTGAAACACAAAGGCTTTACTTTCTCAACTGTTTTGAAGTAAATAGAATGCATAAGCAATGCTGCTGCTATCATGTTACAAATAAAAGTGAGAAAGAATTAAGAATGTCTTTTCTCCTAAAAGATTATTCCTTTATCACGGATGGTATCTTACATATAGAGAAATAAGCAAAGATATCTGTGGACCCTGCTGAGATGTTCACATAGGTTTGCAGTCATCATGGATTTGCACCATACTTACCTTTCTTGAGCGGACTTTGTTCATGAAGTTTGTCCTCAAAGTTGTTGCACAACAGATGCATAGGACTTGGGTAGTTTAAGGGGAAGCCCTCTAAGAATTAATTTTAAAGAATAATAATACATTTATTGTTCCTTTTCTAATTGCATGGTTTCTGGGGTGATAATCCCATTTCTGTTGCATTAACTCATAGAAAAAATATATATACTCTAGGGCAAGCATGTCAAACTCAAAGGCTAACACGTGCCCAATAAACAAGGCAGGCGACCCATAGGCCACGAGTTTGACATGCCTGCTCTAGAGCAATGTTCTCTGGGAAAAAAAGAATTTTGTTTTTTGGAATTGTCATGTTAGAACCCTGTAGGCTAGGAATCTTGACAGCATGGCCAGCTGCAGAGGATACCTTATTCATGGTGTCCACCTTTCAGGTAAACCTATTTCAGCATTAAAACATCAGTATTTATTTCTATTCTAAACTATTATTTGAAATAATAATAATTACCGCTCCCAACAAGGTCCTATCTTTTAATTAGACTGAACGTCTTTCCTAAGTCCTTGTTTCTTTATCAGTGGGGGTCTAGTGGGCCAAAGTAAAGGTGCATTTTTTTAAATCTAAATACTGTAGCCAAGAAAAAGCCCATCTTTGCCTAACTGATGAATATCGTCTCCTCAGAAAGCCTCATCTTTTCTGCTCCTCAGTGTTTATTTCCATTTCTGTGATGTTTATAGCCTCCATTATTCCCTCTATAGGCCCTAGATTCTTCTCTTAGCTCGTTCTTTCTTTTGCTGGTTTCTTATATTGCCACCACCCTTGTTCAAGTCTTTATTGAATCTCAGCTGGGTTATTGCAGTGAAACCCAACTGATCTCCCCGCCACACGTCTCCCCTAATCCATCCTTCACAGAGCTGCCCAAGTAATCTTCCCATAGGAGTGCTGGGATTTTGTTACTCCCCTGACTGAACACACTTGAGTGCCTCCTTGATGCCTGTGGAATAAAACAGCTCTTCTCCACAGCCCGGAGGGCTCCCGCTGTCTGGGCTAGTCTTCTCCACAGCGTGGCCTGCAGTGCACCCAGACGCGGTGCTCCCGCTACTGTTGAAACATGCTTTCCCATCTTTGTCTGTGGAAATGCCCAGTGTCCCGCCTGCTCTGTGACACCTTCCTTGATGACCTCACACAGAAGTTCACCTTTCACATTCAGTGATTGCTTCTGACTCCTTCAGCAAACATTCTGTTGTGGATGTGCAGGGGATGTAAAGAATAATTCAATGCAGCCCCCTGATCTCAGGTGTAATTAGTTGTGGAGCTTGTCATGTAAACAATGACCTATAATATAATGTGTTAAATTCTAAAATAGAGGTCTTACCAAGTGCTGGGATTACAGACTGTACATAAGATACCTTGAAGGCAGGCCTCTTTGTATCGTGAAGGGCTATTGGTAACGTTAGTTCCTCTTTTGTTAAATGCACTTATTAGTAAATTTCTCTTCTGCACTATTCCCTTGCAATATTCCAATAACTTTGCTTTGTCTGGTAAATCTGCTTTCCTTTTGTTTTTTAAATCACTCCTTTCTTTGTATCTTTTTTGGATACATGTATAAGCAAGGAAAATTGGCTCCGTTTAAAAACAAATAATCTTCATTGGACTTCACACATTTATTTTTCACCATTTTGAAAACTGTCAGTTGTATTTCTTCTCAGGTCATTTATATAACGAACACACAAATTCTTTTAACAATGGCTTTTCAGTAAAACAGATTGTTTGACAGTGGTATCATGCCTACCAACAGCATAGCATCTGGTAGCTGGCAAGAGCTCAGCAATTCTAGTATGGATATTAAAAAGAGGAAGTTGGCTGGCTCCTTATGCTGTTGCTCACACTGATTTACTTAGATGTTCCTACTGAAGTTTTCCTCACTTATCTGCCAAACTTAGTACTGGAGACAACCATCCAAGGCATCAAGGGAGATGTCCCCAAAATGTCTACTCTGGACTGTTAAGCAAGTGGGCATTGCAAGCTCTGGAGAGAATGCACTCACTCCAGTTAGCTACTTACCCATCTCTCTGCAGAGGGCAGCTGCAGGTGTGTAGCATCCCCAGGTCACTGTCTTAAATGTGAACAGTGTTTCAGTGATGTGCAAGTCTCATAAGGGTAACATTTACCATTTCAATGTGCACCTGATCGAGTACAGTGACAGCAGGCAAATAAAAGAAAAAATGTGGACCAATAGCCTGATTTAGCCTTTTAATCTGTGCCCAGATTGTGAATAACTGTCTTGAATGCACATTGTGTGGAAGCCAGCCTCCTCCCATTCTCTACTGGGATGTGGCAGGCACAGGCAGAAGATGAAGTTTAACAAAAGGAAAACAGCTCTAGGAATCAGCAGTGTGCCAGCTTCCTAGGAAACAATCCCCTCCAAATCCTCCCTGTGTTTTTAAAGGTTGTTAGGATTTAGGAAACGAACGTCTGTCTAATAAGCCCTCTGCAGACTGAAAGGCCGGTCCATGCCCCTGCCTCTGCTGAGGTTGTGCCGTCCCGGCAGTGAGCAGCACGAGATGAAAGTCTGAGCCTTTCACCAGTCAGGTGGGCACAGGGCTGTCGGTCTTGGGTGGCAGGCAGGGACAGCAGCCTGGGGTTTGGGGGTCAGATGCGGTTGCAAATGGTCCTTGTAAGTTTACAGCATCTAAGTCACACCCAATGTGCTCTCATGGGGGAGGTGGTTAGAAACTCCTGTTAGAGGATGTTTTTTAAAGTTTACAAAAAGGTATTTAGGAATGTTTTTAATGAACAGCAAAGACTGATATATAAACTGCTTATAAATTTAACTGCAGAAAATTTAAACCCAAGTGTTAACTTGGAACAGTGATGACACAACAAGTGGACAAAATTGTTTTCTTTCCAAAGAGGTGAATCCTTCTCAAAACTTCTTTCCATTCGTCTCATTCCCAAACGATTTTTATTTCTGTGGATGCAGCGGCCATGGGAGTGAGGCTGCAGGCAGGCAGGCAGGGGACCAGGGGCCGCAGAGGGAGGGGCCAGGCGAGGGCGCGGAGGATGGGCCAAGACCCATCCCTGTGCCCACCACAGCCTCACAGCCCACAGTTCCTTTCAAGGTTCATGAATTCGTGCACTGGACCCCTAGTTACTAATAAAAGGTTTTTCTTTTAATAACATTTCACCTAGACATTGTATAGTGTTATAATTTTAAAAGAACACATATAGAAGTATTTCAAATGCTCCACTTAAATCCAAATTGATGGCTATAATTAACTAAAGAAATGCAATTAAATAAATTTATAAAAGTAGATTTTAAATAGAATTTGTATGTAAAAGATAATCCAGTCAAAATATATAATGTATACATATAAACAGATCTCTTTCTTTATAAGTTTACCTTTAAAATTTTTAGCATATAACATTCAGTTATATAAGTATATATCTATATCTATATCTATATATATATATATAATATATGCTCTTAGCACTTGATTTAATCGATAAATATCCTTTATGCTATTAAAACAAAGTGCTAATATTCTAACACACAAGTTTTTGCATGATATTTAGCTCACACATTATTTCATACTGTATACGTACCACATCAAACTTCTGCGTGATGTTCCCCTGGACATCGAGTAAATAAACCTTGCCATAATGTGTGCCCAGTGCCAAAAACTGTAAGAAGAACAAACAGGTCAGTTTATTAATGTACCATTAAAACACAATTACTAATAAAACCATTTTCAAACTCAAGACTCTTAATGCAATAGTGATCTGTACTGCCTTAGAAGATATCCAATCCTCGGAGACGGTCTATTTCCAGCTTCAGGGAAATAACAGGACAGGGCCTACTTTATTGTGAGAGTGCAAGCCAGCTGTCAGAATGACTCATGAGGACCCTCATCCGCTGACAACTAATGGTGTGTATGTGGTCTGTACACAATGCCTGATGGACTGAGGCAGCAAATTAAAATGCAGCTATGAAAGCATGACCAACCTAAGGTTGAACTCAAAGTCAGACGGGAATTATTAAGCAACTTGCCTCAATTTATGGCAAATGTGTAAGTTTGTGCTATCATTTAAATTCAACCTAAATACACACAAACAACAAAGTACTATTATTTTAGAAAGAAAAGGCCATTCCATATATCTGGAGATGAAAAAGCTCACATATCTAGAGATGAAAAAACTTAGATGTACTTATACTATCAGTTAGCAATAGAATGCCTCTATAAAAGTTAATGTATAATACTGAGTGTAAATGTTTACATTCTAATACAAAAAAATCTTTTTCTGTCACAAAATAACTGCTGAGCTCCACATTCATCTTATGATATGAAACTAGTTCATAACTTCCATTGTTCCTTTAATCTGCACTAACCTAAATAAACCAGAAGAAACTTTAGGACTACCTAAAATATGACATGAGATTTTTCTCCCTTTTTATTTCCTTACATACTACTCAAATAGTTCCAAATTCCCCATTTCATTGCATGTAAGCATGCTTCATTGCAACCTATAATGAAATGTTCAAATTTATAGGCACTACTAAGCATTTCAGTCAAGCAGCACAATCTTTAAAAAAATAACCTTATAGAAAATCAAGATTTAAAAAGATTTATCAAAATGGAATTGCTTAAAATGAAATTTCAGTTCAGGCACTTAAAATATGAAGCTACCTTAAAGAGGAGTCACAAAAAGGGAAAAGAAGGGGTTCATTAGAAATTCATCCCCAGCAATGCCTTTCACTCCTGCAAGGTTGCCTTTTTTAAAGAAGAAAAAAGTCCCCTGGGTGAAAAAATCAATACTGGTTAATAAAACATCAGATGTGCAGACATAACTAGGTATGACGATTCCACTGCACAGGCCGCCTGAATGCACCAGGTGCCATGCCGATTACTCATCCAGGGCAGACAGCAAGCCTGGTGAGAAGAGGATGCCTGGGCCCTGGAGAGGGAAGGGCCAAGAGGTAATTCTGGGGGGAAATTAGTTGCATATAGAAACAAAACCAGGATATTTTCTCCAAAACAAAAGAACATTCTAATCTGAAACAGAGGACTCAGATGGTTGTAATATTTTTCTCTACAGTGACACTGACCATATTTGAATTTAAAAACCATACAATACTAACTAAAACCAAACAGTACTCCACCTCACTATACCCAAGTACTCTGAAGTACTACTTCCTCATAAATACTGTATTTAGTTTGTTAGGAAACTAAGGTCGGTTGGAGCCTTAAAACGCTTTACTACTAGGTCATTCTCTGGCATCTCTGTGAAGGCCATATTTGAACTTCCAATTATATTTTATTTTATTAGTTTTAAAGGTTCTATGTAGGATACTTTAGCCAAAGATTAATTCCTTCCCTTTTTCTTATTTTATTCATTACTAGTTTAATCCATTTAATAGTTAAGATCTGAAACATAAAATAATTATTTTTATTTTATAGCTTAACCTAAAAACTATAATTACTTTAGAATATTGGGGAGGAGGGGGAGGAGTGATTTTCATGATAAGCTACCTTTTGTTTACAAAAACATTTAATCATTTAAATTAGATAATTCACTGCTGTTCTCTTTTAGAAATAACTTTATGTGCCTAAAATAATCCAAGTTGATAAGCCAATTGGAGAGGTCTTCAAAAATTTATTTAACTATGAAAATTATTGATGAGTCATACATACATTTGCTAATGCTTTTGACTACTTAAAATACAACACACAAAAAAAGGCAAAATTGGCCATAAATCACAAATGTAAATACAAGTCCTTTAAATGTGACTAACTTTCCAGTCATTAAAATTTGTAGCTATTGAATTTTTTTTTAATCCTGTCAGCACCTCCAATCCAGGATAAGCAAAGAATAAATATAGCTTTGTTAGCCCCTTCCAGGTTTAATTACAGAAACTTGATTCATTTTATAAAGTATCAGATTGTGCACCCAATCCTTTTGAACATTCCCCTAACAGAACTGCTTTCACTGGACTTTTTATGTTTTTTGTTGATTTTTTTGTTTGTTTTCTTTTTAAATATATTTTTATTGATTTCAGAGAGGAAGTAAGGGAGAGAGAAATAGAAACATCAATGATCAGACAGAATCATTGATTGGCTGCATCCTGCATGCCCCTTACGAGGGATTGAGCTGGCAACTCAGGCATATGCCCTAGACCAGAATTGAACCCGGGGCCCTTCAGTCCGCAGGCCAGGGCTACCTTACCTTGTCATGGACCGTCATGCAGCTAGCGGCATCCTTCTGAAGGATTTCAGTTACTCCATTGGAAAGCCTTTCATACTTAAGTTTGGGTTCCTCTTCACTCTCTTCTTCCTGCACAGAAAGCAGAGAAAATGACCATTGCCATGGATTTATCTGATACTGTCCAAGACTCAAAACATATTTCTTAAGGGGGGCCCAGAGATGGTTCCCTCAATGATTATCAATAACTACAACCATAATGAAAGGTAAGATCTTCATGTTTCACTTTTCCAACGAGGTGTATCAACTGCTACAATGAACTATAAGTTATTTTGGTAGAATAACTTCAAAAGTGAAAACAGGATTACACACACTTACTGTTAATAGTAATCAACTGTGGCATATTAAATACAAAACTGTCTGACCACTCGGCAGACATATGCCATAGAAACTGAGTCGGCAAAATACATGTCATTATGACCTCGCGGTCATAAAAACTCACAGCAGTAAGATAGGAATATAATAAACCTCTAAAGGACATTATTATATTTCAAAAATATTAATATTTTTGTCCGATTTGAGAATATCTTAATTAGAAGACATAACCACAAAAACTAAATCAAAGAAAATTGTAAGTTTTATATAAAGCAAAATGTATTCTTCACCTTCAGATAAAAAATATTTTAACATTCCTTTTAAATAACTGGTAGTCCATGAACAATCATTACTTATTTCGTTTATGTTAGGAAATATTTGTTTACTCTTATATAAATAAACCTACATATGCATTAAAATTTCTTAATCAGCCGTGGCTGGTGGCTTAGTGGTTGAGTGTCAACCCATGAACTAAGAGGTCACTGGTTTGATTCCCAGTCAAGGCACATGCCCGGGTTGTAGGCTCAATCCCTGGTAGGGACCTACAGGGGGCAGCCCATCAATGTTTCTCTCTCACTGGTGCTTCTCTCTCTCTCTCTCTCTCTCTCCCCGCCTTCCTCTCTAAAAATCAATAAAAATATATTTAAATAAATAAATCCCCTCAGGTGAGAATTAACAATAACACAATAAAATAAATTTCTTAATCATTTATAGGTAATATTACTAACTTTATATGTTTAACCTCAGTGTTGAAACAGCATCACAAGATATCCTTAATCCTCATAGTTAAGTTAGGAAATCTCTAATGACTACAATGGCCATTAATTAATAAATCAAGGATAGGTATAAAAATTACGACAGTGATTCTGAAAAATATTTTACTTTACTGCATTGGTATGTAATGAGAAACCAAACAATGTGCATATATCAGTACTTGTGATAGGATAAAGCTGGACAAATCAGAAGTTCACAAAAATAATCTACTCATGGACTGCAGGTAAGATCTCAGCTTAGGTTGCGACCATCTGAAGGTTAAAATGGAGTGAGAGTATCTGCTTCCAGGATGACTCACTCAAACGGTTGACAAGCTGGTGCTAGCTGTTGGCAGGAGACTTTATAGTTCCTTGTCTCGTGGACCTCTCCTCAGGATATGAAAGGTGACTTCCCCCAGAGTAAGTGATCCAAGAGAAAGCAAACTGAGCTTCAGTGCTGCATACGGCCTGGCCTCAGAGGTCGTGCACTGACACTTCAGCAGTATTCTACTGATCATACAGGTCAGTCATGATTCAGAGTGGGAAGGGAGGACACACGCGCAGGAATAGGAGGTGAGGATCATCGGAGGCCATCGTGTGGCCTAGCTACAGAGCAGCGATTATATTTTAAAAGCAATAAACCTGGTTTTAAGAAATCAGCATTCCACGCATATGATGAGCTGTCAAATTTTCTTCCCCAAGTATATACAGACTATTAGTTGTTTATTTAGTAACAGTGTTAAAATCAAAGACAATGTTAATTACTATTTGCAAGAATAACTTTAAGAACTAATAGCAACAAATGGACATATAATAAGCACAGTTTTCTAAAAGACCAATACTTCTTTTAAAAAGTAACTAATGATAATCAACCCAACCCAAGGAGCTGTTGCATGTCAAGAAGTGACCTGTTATTAAAATAAAATATGAAATAGCTCATTAACCAAGTATAAAGAACCTAGAAAAAGGAAAATCACAAACAAAGCCACAAGTAAACACTTCTACGTATGTACTCACAAGCAAGAAACAGAAATCATTACAAAGTTAACATAAAATGTGGCAAAAATGATGTGTGCATTCTGAAGTAAATGTGTTAAATACAAATTGAATCCTGAATGGTAGTCTTTGTAATAAGATGCCACATGTTGCTCAAGTCTGGACATCAAATGTGCATCCAACGTGAAAAGTTAATTCTAGCCTCTAGACTATTTTGCATAAAAGCACTCATCCACGGACCATTAGATAAAGTTACTGTAAATAAGGTTTGCCTGTCTTATTTATAAGTGAAAACTAAATAATTCCTCTCACATAAATATATAAAAATAAATACTTTCACAACACAGTTCACTGGAGCATTCGTGCCAGGCTTCAAAAACCATAAATAAAATGAAAACTACAATATTAGGCACTTGATGTAGCATTTCACACTTTTCTGACAGGTATCTTTTATGTTAAGCTAAAAGCAAGCTAACGGCGAATTTTTAAGTTTTTTTTTTTCTGCTTGCTGTAAACAAAGAAAATGGAAAGTGATTCAAAAATACAATTCACAGAGGTTATTCTACTGCTGCAGACTATATATCACATTCTAAATAAAAAACAATTTTTTAAAAAATCAAGCAGATTTAATATAGAGTTTCACTTTTTTAAAAATTTAAACACCAAAAAGGCTTCTGTACAACTTGAACTTCTAAGGAAAACCATCCAGTGTTAATAAAAAGCAAATCAAAATTTTTGTGAAATTTTCATAACCAGGCAAACCTACAAATAAAACCATCAACAGTGTGTTGAGATGACAGTTAACTGCGTTTCTATGACAACCTAGTGGAATAGTACAAGTCCTGAAATGCAGCAAAGCAGAGGTATGAAGAGAGTGACATTTACCCATACAAGAAAAATTTGCAGCTTTCCTTTAAAAAGAATCAATTCTTCAACTAACATGGATTTTCACTCAGTGGATAGCACTTTTAATTCAAGACAAGTCCTTTAAACCACTGTACAGGATTCTAAAACACTCCAAAAATAAATTTCATATCACAGTCATTCTTACTAAATTTTGAACTTAAAAGCAAAAAAAAAAAGAGACAACTTTTGGGATAACGAATTAAGGCAAGCCTCTTATTTTATTACTAACATTAAAGGTAAATTTGCATGGTGGGAGTCCTGTCACCTAACATAGATACCAATGAGAATACAGCCCTTTTGACCTGATAATTTCAAACTTGGGCATAAGAAATTTTTTGGTGTGTCAACCAACTTTTCATGCTGTTTAAATTTTATCCATATCTTCACACACTGGTACATTTTATAAACCACTACAGTCCAAATGAAGACTTGGATTTTATTTTATTTTTTAAATGTGTGTTACGTGAATTCTGGAGGTTAACAGAAAGATCACTACCGTTTCTGTTGTTACTATTAATATACAGAACTTAAAATTTTATTTCTGGATACTATTTATTAAAATCCAGTTTTATCTTGTTTTATTTTTTCCACCCCACAAAATAAAATTGCAATAGATAGACTGAAGAGGAGAGGTAAGATACAAAGTCCAAGTGAAGTTAGTGAAAAATACCACCAGTTGCGCACTCCTAGACAATTCACAATCTCACTCTCTGGAGATGGCCTTTATCCCACCCAGCTTCACCTCTGAGAAAAATCTCAGCTGACCCTCTAGGAACTTTAATAAGGTGATTGACTGGTTTCCTTGGTCTCAGTCCATAAACTACATCTGACCAGGGACAAATCCTTTTAATAAATATCCAGTGTTTTAAAGTTAGACATAATAGGGAACACTCACATACTCAAAAAAAAATTCTTGTTAAAAAATGCAATTTAAACTTCCACACTGAAAAAGCAAGTATTAATAAAAAGCAAATTAATAATCAACCATCAATAGAAAGGTATAAAATAAAGTCTTTCCTCTAGAACGTTCTCTATAGGATTCTAATTACCTTAAGGAGAATTGAAATATTCAAAACTGGTAAGTCAACCTTCTAAGTTTAAGATACAAAAAAAGCTATCAAAATCTAATATCAGAACATTTACATTTTAGAAAATTTACATTTTAAATAATACTCTCTTCATAAATCATAGCCTATATTAAAATATTTATTTTTATTACTACCAGAAAAGATAGAGAACAAAAAAACAAAACAAAACACAGTTGGTGTCAAATACAAGACTTTTTTTTTAAAGCATAACTGAAATTATACTGTAAGTCAATCAAAGCATACAATTTGAGTCTCAAAAACACAACTACAAAATTTTTAAGAGATCTATTCACTATATATTATCAACAAACTAACATAAATGCTCAAAAAACTGCATATCATTGTATAAATCATATATAATTATGCATTTATATGAAACTATAATGGTATCAATAAATGTACATGGACAATACAGAACATCTTCAAATATGCTATACCAGTGATGGCGAACCTATGACATGCGTGTCAGAGGTGACACGTGAACTCATTTTTTTGGTTGATTTTTCTTTGTTAAATGGCATTTAAATATATAAAACAAATATCAAAAATACAAATCTTTGTTTTACTATGGTTGCAAATATCAAAAAATTTCTATATGTGACACGGCACCAGAGTTAAGTTAGGGTTTTTCAAAATGCTGACACGCCGAGCTCAAAAGGTTTGCCATCACTGTGCTATACCAATCTTGAGCCTTTCCAGAAAAAAAGTACTATGATGAGAGATACTGTATAAAAATGTAAATCGCATATGGTTAAATAAGTTGTCTTCAACAGGAGGTGATTCTGTGCTCCTAGGACATTTATTTATTTGGCAATGTCTAGGACACTTTTGTTATCACATCGGAGTGGGAGGAGATGGTGCTATTGGTATCTAGTGGGTAGAGGCCAGGGATGATGCTAAACATCCTAAAATGTACAGGACAATCTCCCAGAACAAAAAATTATTTGGCCAATAATGTTAAGGTTGAGAAATCCTGGGTTAAATAAATTTCAAAAGATTATTGTATAAACATTAA